TAATTCGTGTTTCCGAGGTCTGTTCAGGGGGTGACGCCGGTCTTCTGTTCGATCCAGTCCAGGTAGTAGTTGACGCGGGTGAAGGCGTCGGGGTAGCCAACCTCACATCCGGCGGAGGCGCCGAAGGAGGTGATGCCGTAGGTCATGCCGTTCAGGTTGAGGGGACCGCCAGAGTCACCCTGCAGAGGAACACAAGAATAAGTTCAGTGCATACTCATAGAACTGCTGAGGGCATGTTGCAAGGGGAAAAGAGGGGAACACCTACGTTACATGTTCCCTTGCCGCCTTCGGAATCAATGCAGACCACGCCGTCGCCGACGATGCCGTACACGGCGTCACAGTCGGCGTTGGTCATGATGGGGACATCCACCTGACGAAGGACGTTGGAGATACCGCTGGCGCCTGTGCAGAGAGGGTCATCTTTAATGTTGGACACTAAGAAAATGAACAATACAGTTATATCGTGATGAAAAATGGCAACACAATGAGCAACCAAGAAGGAAGTGAAGCACGTACTGTCAGAGGGGCGGCCCCATCCTGATGGGGTGACGGTGGTTCCCACGGCCACATCAGAGGCAGGCAGCTTGACAGTGGAAATGTTCTCTGTAACGTTCCATTGTTATGGTGATTGATTAGCTAATGGCGATACTACAGTTAAAGTTTGCATTTGCAATGTAACTCACATTCACTTGTAAAACACTTGCATGCTAATATACAGACCATTGAACTCAACGGCGGTGGGCAGCCTGATGAGGGCAATGTCGTTGGTGAGGAGCCAAGAGTTCCAGTTCTCGTGAGTGAAGAAGTCGGTGGAGACAATGGAGACCTGGCTGGCTTCGTTCTCGCGAATGTTGTGGGCGCCCAGCACTACCTCGACGAAGCCGGCACTAAAAGCGTAGGACACGGAAGGGAATCATAATGTGAAATTGGGTGAGACAAATAAATGCAGTGATGTCAGTAGTATTATGAATGGTGACTCACCCGTCCATGCAGTGAGCGGCCGTGAGGACCCACTCGCTGGAGATGAGGGAACCGCCGCAGAAGTACATGTCGTCGATGAAGAGAGCTGCCTGGTGAGGCCACGAGTGAGGAACGGCCTCAATGCCGCCCACGATTCTGCTGCCACCTAGAATGCGTGTTTGATTTGCAAATAGAAAGTGATGGCAGCTGCATTACAACTACTCTGAATATTATTTTAACACAGGTTACAGGAGCGCAAGAGAACTACTGACCATTGGGGGCGGGTCCGCGGGCGTCGACGAGGGGCTTCGGGGACTTCCAGTGCCATGGCTTCCCTGCGGCGGGGTTTCCGCTCTGCCAGGGGAGATTGTGTTCTTATTACTAGATTTAGTGTTTTTAGAAGGCGAAAAAAAAACGCAAGGCCAAGCGGGAAACATCCCCCGCAATAGAAGCTGTGACTCGAGGTGAGGCGACGGGAATACTCACGGCGGCGGCGACGAAGGCGAGGAGGAGAGCGACTCTGGCGACCATGGCTGCGGTTCTGCTGAGGCCTCCTTGCTCCGCCGCTGCTTAAGTACTGAACGACGCTTTGGTGCTAATCTTATCCAAGGTCTTGTCTAGGCTTATAGCGAACCGTGATGAGCACATGAATGTGTATTTTTGTGATTGGTTACGTAGATATGATTATCCATTTTCATATACAAAATATAGGATTGTGCACAAACGTGCGGTGCTCTGCCCCACACACACAGAAAGAGAGGGAGGGAGAGGAAGAGAGAATGAGAAATAGCGAGATAATTAGATTCTGAATAATGTTTGTATTCTGTAATAGAATATTAGAATATTCATTCTCATTCATACCTTTTCTACATATATATATATATATATAGATATGTGTGTGCGTGTGTGTCTATACACACATATATGTATATAGACATACATGTGTGTGTATGAATATATATATATTTATATATATATTTAAGTGTCCCGTGAGAGTTCCTCTATACTTTTTTATATTTTCTGAAAATTGTATATTACAGTATAAGAGTGTTAGTTTATCTGACTGAACTTTAATACAATACAGCCTCGCACTTAATATCTGGCACTGAAAAATATCGCCGAACAAAATGGGGGCGGAATCTAATCGGTCCCAATGGTAGTAGAGTTTTCACGAAATTTTAAAACAATTTATCTAAGAACCTTTATTAGATACGATGTTATTAAATCAAGGAGAGCCAGTGGAAACTTTGATATAATCAAGATCTTTTCTTCGATTATCGCCGACAGTTCTCCGTAAAACACTGCATTTCACCCGTGCGTGTGTGTGTGTGTTTACGTACACACGTACACACACTTATATAGATATATGAATACATACACACAGACATATATGTATATATATAAATATATATGTATATATATAATAAGCGTGATTTAGTGTTCCTGACAATTAAATATTTACCGTTCAATATCTTTTTAGTAAAAAATATGACTCATCTCCTGACATTTGGTATCTACGATAATACAACCTTATTTTATTGTGTAAATATACATGCATACACATGCGCAAAACACATATCGCACACAGACGCATATCAATACGTACATGTATATATATACATATATATGTGTAGTATATACACACACTTATACATACACACATATATATGTATATATAATATATATATTACTATGCATATATGAATATATATAAATAATATATATTGTATTATATATATATAAAGTATACACACACATACATATACATGTATATATCGCTACCTCATTGCAAGAGGGTCGTAACTCCAAATTCCTGATTTTTTAGGAGACGCATTTGAAAATTGCTAAGTCCTGTGAATTTGATCAAGTTTCACAAAACAACAAAACTTACCATCTTTATATTCACCTAATAAAGATGGTAAGTTGTGTTGTTTTGTGAAACATGATCAAATTCATAGGACTTAGCAATTTTCAAATGCGTCTCCTAAAAAATCAGGAATTTGGAGTTACGACCCTCTTGCAATGAGGTAGCGATATATATATATATATATATATATATATAAATTTCTATGCACACATATGCATATGTGTATATATACATACTGTAAATGTATATGTACATGTATGCGTGCGTGTGTATGTGTGAGTGCTTGTATGTGTATTGTGTATATGGCTCTGATCTGCCAGACCAAGAATTCAGTAAACATATTGGCCTGGTAGCAGATGTCATATGTACTCAGTTTATAAAAGTATTTGGAAATGTCGGTGTCTGTGCAGTAGGACCTAGTAACACGTTATGAATGTCCTATTACTACGTTGATGCCTTTTGTAACAGGTTCTTGACCCGGGTCACGAGGTACTGTATGCAGGACCATATGCCAACTAATGGTTATACCGTTTTTACATTCACCTATATACACAGCATACATATTTTCATTTATTTCTATGCTCAACCTCTACAGATGAGTAATGTGAAGATATTTTTGTTAATAAACAACGGAGTTGGTTTTACTTCTGTTTTATTAGGTTATACATATGAATCGGTACAAGGAGCCTGATCAGTTCCTAAACTCCAAACTCAGGCGACATAATTCGTGTTTCCGAGGTCTGTTCAGGGGGTGACGCCGGTCTTCTGTTCGATCCAGTCCAGGTAGTAGTTGACGCGGGTGAAGGCGTCGGGGTAGCCAGCCTCACATCCGGCAGAGGAACCGAAGGAGGTGATGCCGTAGGTCATGCCGTTCAGGTTGAGGGGGCCGCCAGAGTCACCCTGCAGAGGAACACAAAAATAAATTCAGTGCATACTCATAAAACTGCTGAAGGCATGTTGCAAGGGGAAAAGAGGGGAACACCTACGTTGCATGTTCCCTTGCCGCCCTCGGAATCAATGCAGATGACACCGTTGCCGACGATGCCGTACACGGCGTCACAGTCGGCGTTGGTCATGATGGGGACGTCCACCTGACGAAGGACGTTGGAGATACCGCTGGCGCCTGTGCAGAGAGGGTCATCTTTAATGTTGGACACTAAGAAAATGAACAATACAGTTATATCGTGATGAAAAATGGCAACACAATGAGCAACCAAGAAGGAAGTGAAGCACGTACTGTCAGAGGGGCGGCCCCATCCTGATGGGGTGACGGTGGTTCCCACGGCAACGTCAGAGGCAGGCAGCTTGACAGTGGAAATGTTCTCTGTAACGTTCCATTGTTATGGTGATTGATTAGCTAATGGCGATACTACAGTTAAAGTTTGCATTTGTAATGTAACTCACATTCACTTGTAAAACACTTGCATGCTAATATACAGACCATTGAACTCAACGGCGTTGGGCAGCCTGATGAGGGCAATGTCGTTGGTGAGGAGCCAAGAGTTCCAGTTCTCGTGAGTGAAGAAGTCGGTGGAGACAATGGAGACCTGGCTGGCTTCGTTCTCTCGAATGTTGTGGGCGCCCAGCACTACCTCGACGAAGCCGGCACTAAAAGCGTAGGAAGGAAATCGCATTATATGAAATTGGGCGAGACAAATAAATGCAGTGATGTCAGTAGTATTATGAATGGTGACTTACCCGTCCATGCAGTGAGCGGCCGTGAGGACCCACTCGCTGGAGATGAGGGAACCGCCGCAGAAGTACATGTCGTCGATGAAGAGAGCTGCCTGGTGAGGCCACGAGTGAGGAACGGCCTCAATGCCGCCCACGATTCTGCTGCCACCTAGAATGCGTGTTTGATTTGCAAATAGAAAGTGATGGCAGATGCATTAAAACTACTTGAAGAATTCTCATTTTCCCACAGGTTACAGGAGCGCGAGAGGACTACTGACCATTGGGGGCGGGTCCGCGGGCGTCGACGAGGGGCTTCGGGGACTTCCAGTGCCATGGCTTCCCTGCGGCGGGGTTTCCGCTCTGCCAGGGGAGATTGGGTCAGAGAGGCTTCTTACAGATGCACATTCGTATCTATAATCTTAACTATGTGTTCTTATTACTAGATTTAGTGTTATTCGAAGGCGAAAAAAACGCAAGGCCAAGCGGGAAACATCCCCCGCAATAGAAGTTGTGACTGGAGGTGAGGCGACGGGAATACTCACGGCGGCGGCGACGAAGGCGAGGAGGAGAGCGACTCTGGCGACCATGGCTGCGGTTCTGCTGAGGCCTCCTTGCTCCGCCGCTGCTTAAGTACTGAACGACGCTTTGGTGCTAATCTTATCCAAGGTCTTGTCTAGGCTTATAGCGAACCGTGATGAGCACATGAATGTGTATTTTTGTGATTGGTTACGTAGATATGATTATCCATTTTCATATACAAAATATAGGATTGTGCACAAACGTGCGGTGCTCTGCCCCACACACACAGAAAGAGAGGGAGGGAGAGGAAGAGAGAATGAGAAATAGCGAGATAATTTGATTCTGATTAATGTTTGTATTCTGTAATAGAATATGTTTTCCAATAACATACCATCCAATAAAAAATAGAATGAACAACGACAAGCCAGTTTCACGCCATCAGATATCTTTTCAGCCAGAAACATGTCCTAAGGAGAATAATAATAAATATTTGATTGGATCTCCCTGGATGGTAAGCATTACAGAAAGCAGTGCGTGCATGATGGTGGTGGCAGTGTACGCCCTTCTATGTCAGTTTTGAAAACAAAGCAGGCAAAAAGAGTTTTAAGAGATACATGAAATGGTACATAATAATTAGTTGTAGTCGTATCGACACAATTAGGTGTGAAATATTTTACAGAACTTGATTTTTTAATAACTATTCTTTAAGGCAAGATTTACTTTATTAGCTTCCATATTTAAAGAAGCTGCTTATACTAAATATATTTTAGAAAAAGGTTACTGCTTCTTTCACCAATGAACAATTTCAGATCAAATGTTTTTTTTTTTTTTTTTTTTTTTTGCTCTTTCCCTTCTTTTCCTACTAAAGTCTAAGCCTCTAAAGAGTGTGAGAAAAAAAAATAGACCTAGAAGCCACTTGTCTTCTTTCAGTCCAACAATACGGTTTTCGCCAAATGGGATCCACTGATCTGTCTTTTTTTTCCCTATAACGGTCAATTTCCATCTCTACTGATCCTTAATTACACGTTCCTGGGTGTCAAATTCCCAAACTCCACTTCACACACACAGTGGAATTGGTTTAAGTTTGACCCCCAACTCTCCTTCAGCACCCCAAAGATACTATTATTCTATTATTACACTTGTCATACACGAATCTCCTACTCTACTTGGGTGAAGACGGGTCGGGGACTCACAAGGGCGCCAACATTTGATCAGCTCGTGCTTGGCCATTGGATTCTACCCATAGATTTTCAGAGCGGGAGAGACAATCATTGTTCACAGACTGCTGAGAAGACTTAAGCAATTACATAGTACTTGTAGCTAAAGGCATAGCTATAAAGATTTTACACCATTGAGGAGTCCTAATCTAGCTTGTACAGAGTATTAGGCTACAAGGCTTCTTATCTTCTAGAATTTGGGACCTGTCTGTATACTTATCCACAGACACACCACTCGTAACCGTCGGATGCTATATTACACGAACACATATATATATATATATATGTGTGTGTGTGTGCGTGTGTATGTATACATATACACAGATATGTGTATATACATAATATATATGTATGTATGTGTGTCTACACTCTCTCTCACACACATATATATGTGTATATATACATATGCATATATATGAATCTATCTATATATACATATATGAATGTATATAAAGCACATATATATGTATATAGATAATATATATATATACACATGCACACATACATACATACATACACACAAATATACATATATATATGCATGTTTAAATATATATACATATATGTATGTATATATATATTTACACATGTATATAAGTATTTATGTATGTATATATTTATATATATTATTTACACACACATATCTATATATGTATGTATATAATTTATACATGTATATATATATACACACAAGGCCTTTTTTGTAACAATTCTGAAACCCCTAAAACTTTGATACACTGATACATGTTTGGCCTTTACGCGTACAATGTTGAAACCTATTGAAACAGCGCTTCATTTTGTATCAAAGTGTATGCCTTCATCTTGATACGGTTTGATACACTCCGGCCAGCCAATCTGAGCACGATATTTTTTCATATATATTTCATGTAGTCTCAGGCAGGGATTTATATTTTCGTTAATTATGAAGCGCATGGTAAGTTTCTTGATATAACTTTTTATTGTAAAGATGTCTTTTTAGCACTACATCAAATACATGTTCACTCTACATGGGTAAGATTTGAAGTCAATCATGACGTTCGTTGAAAGGACATGGTAAGAATTTCCAACATGTCCGAGTCATATGACGTGGTATTGACTTCGGTGGGATGAATGTCGTCAAAATTATTCTGTATGTGTATGATATAACGTAACAAGTTCAAAATATAAAACAAAATGCTGTGTATCCTGATTTGTTCATATACTTTAATCAATAAATCAAGTAAATGTCCATGATCATTGGAATTACACACTTGTCAGATTTAGACACGGAACTCACTCGCAGTGGATACGATAAGATCTAAATCCTTATACAACTTCCAATTTTATATGAAGTATGTGATAAGAAAAAATATTTTACTGAACCTGAGAAATACATTTAAACTTTTCAGAGCTTTCCGAAGCAAAGAGTAATGTGTCTAAACGATATAAGTTACAGAATAATCAGGTACCCTTCCATTTTATCTCAAGCTTCCACAATGTTTGCTTTTGATTAAAAAATACACCAGCATATTAAGTACTTAAACGGTTTTCTGTTGACTTTTTCATGTGAAAAAAAAACTGAACTTTGTATATCAGCACAAACTTCAATGATATCGCGTATTGTAGTGACCATGATACAACTTGAAATAATGTATCAAAGTGTTTGGGGTTTCAGAATGATACAAAAAAGGCCTATATATGTATTTGTATATACATATACATATATAGTTATATATATACATATACATATATAGTTATATATACATATACATATAGTTACATATATACATATACATATATAGTTATATATATACATATACATACATAGTTATATATATACATATACATATATAGTTATATATATATACATATACATATATATATATATATATATACATACATATACATATACATATATATATTTATATACATATACATATACATATACATATATACCTTTATATACATATATATATATAGTTATATATACATATATATACATATATGTATATATATACATATACATATATAGTTGTATGTATAAACATATACATATACATATACATATATAGTTATATATACATATACATATATAGTTATATATATATACATATACATATACATATACATATACATATATAGTTATATATACATATACATATACATATACATATATAGTTATATATACATATACATATATAGTTATATATACATTTCATACATATACATATATAGTTATATATACATATACATATATAGTTATATATACATATACATATATAGTTATATATACATATACATATATAGTTATATATACATATACATATACATATACATATACATATATAGTTATATATACATATACATATAGTTACATATATACATATACATATATAGTTATATATACATATACATATATAGTTATATATACATATACATATATAGTTATATATACATATACATATACATATACATATACATATACATATATAGTTATATATACATATACATATATAGTTATATATACATATACATATATAGTTATATATATACATATACATATATATATATATACATATACATATACATATATAGTTATATATACATATACATATACATATACATATACATATACATATACATATATAGTTATATATATATACATATACATATACATATATAGTTATATATACATATACATATATAGTTATATATACATATACATATATTGATATATATATCATACATATACATATATAGTTATATATACATATACATATACATATACATATACATATATATATATATACATATACATATATAGTTATATATACATATACATATATAGTTATATATACATATACATATATAGTTATATATACATATACATATACATATATAGTTATATATATACATATACATATACATATACATATACATATACATATACATATACATATATAGTTATATATATACATATACATATACATATATAGTTATATATATACATATACATATACATATACATATATAGTTATATATATACATATACATATATATATATATACATATACATATATAGTTATATATATACATATACATATACATATACATATACATATACATATACATATACATATATAGTTATATATATACATATACATATACATATATAGTTATATATACATATACATATATAGTTATATATACATATACATATATAGTTATATATATACATATACATATATAGTTATATATACATATACATATATAGTTATATATACATATACATATATAGTTATATATACATATACATATACATATACATATATAGTTATATATACATATACATATATAGTTATATATACATATACATATATAGTTATATATACATATACATATATAGTTATATATATACATATACATATATAGTTATATATATACATATACATATATAGTTATATATACATATACATATATAGTTATATATACATTTCATACATATACATATATAGTTATATATACATTTCATACATATACATATATAGTTATATATACATTTCATACATATACATATATAGTTATATATACATTTCATACATATAAATATACATATACATATACATATACATATATAGTTATATATACATATACATATACATATACATATATAGTTATATATACATATACATATATAGTTATATATACATATACATATACATATACATATATATATATATATATACATATACATATACATATATAGTTATATATATACATATAC